TGGATATATTTACTGTAAGGTCATTAAACCTGAGGTCACCGGATGTGATTGAGTTCCTCTTCCGCTGTAGTTATTATTGTTGTTTTTTAAATTCCTGATCAGTGAGTCCTATTTAGTGGAAAGTGATTTATTTTATTTAATAATTAATTAATTTAACCTTTTTATTTTTTAAATTAAATATACCGGAAGTATCATCATTCCCTCCTCTCCTTCTCAGGAGGATGTTTCCATCCGTGCGCGTCAAGGTGAGCAACCTGGACCCGTGCCAACAGTACTACGTCGCCATGGACGTCATGCCGGTGGACTCCAAACGCTACAGGTGCGCGCATTAACACAACACACGCACGCGCCGATACGACCCACGGCGTGTTCTCATACACCTCTCCGAATACTCCGTACTGCAGGTACGTGTACCACAGCTCGCAGTGGATGGTGGCCGGGAACACGGACCACTCCTGCATCACACCCCGGCTCTACGTGCACCCGGACTCGCCGTGCGCGGGGGAGACGTGGATGCGTCAGGTGATCAGCTTCGACCGGGTCAAACTCACCAACAACGAGATGGACGACAAGGGACATGTAGGTAACACATCTGGACACACTGGAGCAGTGGTTCTCAAATGGGGGTATGTGTACCCCTCGGGGTACTTGAAAGAGTTTGGAAGTATTTGTGTTAAAAAATATTTTTTAAATGTATGGAGGTGTTCATGGAGTTTTTTTTTAATTGTTAATCTGGTATTTATATCCAGATTTTTTTTTTAATTTACAATCTTTAAAAAAAGGAAAATTCCAGAGTGTCCAGAGATCAAACCTGGCACCTGTCAATCACCGACGGCCTGGACCAATCAAACAATCTTGGTTCAAACATCGCAGCGACGCCACAGAAAACACACAGGGACGTTAGCCAAAGTTTTCTAGAATATTCCGGCAGTTTTCCCGGGAGACCAGGTTTTAATGGGATTTACATGCAGCTCAGTGTCTCCGTGTCTGATTTATTACATTTTAATAAAACTGGAAGCTAAAAAGACAGCCGTCATTTTGGAGTGGATTTATTTTCCAACCAGAAAGACTCTGTGCTGGTCGTCGTCATCGTCGTCGTGGAGTTTCTTTGGCTGAGGAACATATTTCACAGCAGGTTCAAAACTGAGTACCGCTGAGAATTACTGCAGTAGTACTGCGTTCTTTAATCTGGTCGCCACAGTTTTATGGACTGGATTTAAACAGTGAAAAATCCTCCTCAGCCACAAGTGACGGATGTTCAAACCACTGAACCGTGTCGTTGAACTCGTGTCTCGTGGTTTTTAATGAAAGGATTCAGAGAAAATATTTGATCAGAAGTTTGAATTGAACACATTTAAATAAATGAAATAACTCAACTTTAGACTAAACTGATTAACGTTGGTGTTTTAATATTATCTCTCCACTGATCCATGTTTTAATATCTTGCTAAATATTTTCAGCTTTAATTTAATTATTATTATTATTATTATTATTTCAAAATGGTTCATAACTTTCATGTTTTTTGGTCAGTGACTGATGATTTACTTTCGACATAAATTTGCTGCACACTTTACTGAACTGGTCGTTAAAATGCGTCTTGTTTATTTTTTTATACTGAGCTAAAAACATCAGTATTTAATTAACACAAATTAGTTCTTGATTTACTTCTGGACCAGAAACTCTGACTGAAACTGACAAAAAAAAAGACCAGTCTGTTCTGTTCTATTCTGTTCTGTTCTAGAGCTGAACATCACAGATTTGAATTTTTTTTTTTTCATATACAGATTATCCTCCAGTCAATGCACAAATACAAGCCGCGGGTTCACATCATCCGTCACAACCCCCGACTGGACCTGTCTCAGATCCAGTCCCTGCCGGCTGAAGGAGTTCACAGCTTCTCCTTCCCAGAGACGGAGTTCACCACGGTCACAGCCTATCAGAACCAACAGGTAACAACTGACCACCACTGACCACCACTGACCACCTGTAGAAGCAGAACCCGGGTCTCCGTCAGTGACACTTATGACGATCCAGTCAACAGTTTACTGACCTTTTGACCTCTCGTAAAAAACCCATCAATCTTCTGGTCCGCTCTACCCTGGTCTCGGCCGGACCATAAATTGTCCTAAATTTTCTCGCAGCCTCCCCCCCAGTGTTGGCCACCGCTCCTCCAGTACCAGAGCCGTCTGCGGGGGGCGCCTGCTCGTTTCATCAGGGCCCTTTTTTTTATTTTTTTTTACGATCAGTGAACGTATTATTACAGAAACTCAGTACGGAGCTGTGACAGGAGCGGCCACTGGGGGCGACGTCCAATTAAAAACCAAATAAAACTAAATACACCCCGAACCGTTCACAAGAACCGTCGGACTTGGCTGAGAGTCCTGGGTACTGTTTGGAGATGGAGTCTCTAA